GCTGGCGGCAGGGACAGCGGGTCTCGGGTTCCCAGGTAACAGTCTGGAGTTAAGAAGCTGAAACCCAAACCCATACTGCTTACGCTAACCACGGATAAGAAAATTGTGCTGAATAACATAGTAGCTAGTATGAACTATTAATGGTCAGGCTTTTTTATACCTTTTTTTTATCTTGAATTTCAGCTGTGTTCAGGCTGAACACAATCAGATGGGATGGGGGTAGATGGGGAGCCTGTATGAACTGTGGGCAGAGCTGACTGCGGCCTGCCGGTCTGAAAGGGGGCCTGAGGGAAAGATGGGGAAACTTTTTTGGCAAGGCCTGTTGTGACAGGACAAGGAGCAATGGCTTTAAACTAAGGGAGGGTAGATTTAGACTGGATATAAGGAAGAAATTTTTTACCGTGAGGGTGGTGAAACACTGGAACGGGTTGCCCAGAGAGGTAGTGGAGGCCCCACGCCTGGAAACATCCAAGGCCAGGTTGGACGGGGCATTGAGCAACCTGGTCTAGGTGGAGACATCCCTGCTCGCGGCAGGGGTTGGGCTAGATGACCTCTAAAGGTTCCTTCCAGCCCAAACCCTTCTATGATTCTGACAAGCGCAGAAACCTTTATACCTCTGGTGTGCCTCCAGTTTTCTGCTTTCCAGTTTGTTCCTTTTTCTAGCCAGTGCTCAAGGAGTTGGTGGCTGGGTTATGCAACAAAGCATTACGGTACTGAGTGAAAATCACACTGCGAGAAACGTCCGCTTGTTCTGTAAAACGCCTGCCTGCGGCATGCCCCATGCAGTTGTCGCCGCGCTTACTGGCAAAGGCAGTAGGCAAAGGGGCGTAAAGAAAACACTGTTGGAAGTTTGAATCCGGTTCAAAACTGGGTTTTAAAGCTTTCCCAAACATATCACTAAGGAATTGGAGAAAATGAATTCATTTATGCACCTGGTTTTTAGCCACCTCAGTGACTGTCGTTAGTTCACACAAAGAAACGGGTCACAGCAGCGCTGGCAAGAACTGCGCACGCGTTGGGTGAAGCCTGAGCTGCGCGCAGGCGGTCAGTTCAGGAGATGCTGTTTTGTTTCACAGGGTGCCATCAGGATGATGATTGCTCAAGGCAACATGCAACTGCAGGAACTTCAGAGAGCACTTAAACTGGCAAAATCCTGAGCATACTGGTGTTGACAGACGGACTTTCATCTGCTGTGAACAAGCACAGTATTTTTTTCCAGAACATGGCTGTAATCGCAGCCTTTGCTGACAGCCTGGTCACGTTTGAAGGTAGAACCTGCAGCAGTGGTGGTTTGGTTTGGGTTTTTTTTCCCCTTCCTCTCCCTGGTTTGGTTATGCTCCCCTGTGGAAATTGCTGGGACACAAAGGACTTCAAAGAAAGAACTGAATGGCCGATGTGGCGTGTGCTGTGGGAAAAGCAGAACGCACCAGCACTACGACAGCAGTGTAATGTCAGGGAAATGGAAAATAAACATAAGCCAGAGTGTTTTGTCTGTTTTCTGTTGTGGCAGCTTTCAGGTGGTAACATTCATAGTGGTAACAGCTCTTTCTCTACTGTGCTGGGGATTTCTACCAAATTTGGGGTTAAAAAAAGCATTTGGGATAAATAAATGGGCCCAAAACAAATAAACGTGATAACATGTTAAGAAAATGTTTTGTATTTAGATACTGATTTTCAGTTGTTGGTGAATAAAACTTAAAAGGGGAGGTCTTTATATATGGAAATGAGAGATTTTGGCCCCAGAAATAGTCATTACCTGTTTAACAGGAAGTACCTTCAAGTTAGTATTTAAAAGTCAGTATAAAGTAGAATTACAAATAAGATATGCTAACTGTGAATGCTGTGGTCTGTTTTTCTGCATGTTGCATTACTCCACTTTGAATGGTCAGCTTGCATCTGTCCATACCTTCCTGCCCTCTGGCAGTGACTCCTGAAACGGTGGGCGCGTGCGTCGGCCAGCAAAGGGGACAGACCGTGGGCCCGGGTCCCCTGTTTTATAGTCAAAGCCCAGTGTTCTGCTCCCGCTTCCGAGTCGAGTGAGGGGATTTTGTCCACTTTCTCTGGCTAGAAAACACGACACTACAGACTTCTGAGCAACACTTGTTTTAATTGCTTGGCAAAACAATCACTTTATTAAGATGATACAAAACTTAAATAGCATGCTTCTGCATTCCTACAGTAGCTTAAAAAAAATGTAAACGCATGAAAGTGTCTATGTTAGACTACAGAAGTCAGAGCAATAAAACTTGTGTTTCCATAACAGCAGATACTTTTCTTGTCTTGACAGTGCATTAATAGGAACGTCAAAAATATTGTTATATAATACAGTTTTCTCTGCTTTATACATCTGCTAAGAAGATGAAAGCTTAATTACTAATTAGTCAACAGTGTCTTCAATACTGTAAAGTATTTTGTATTGATTTTAGGGCTCCTCAGTACAGAAAAAAATCTCTTTCTCCTTGGCATAGCAGTACTATCCTGCATTTGAATTGGTTTTGAACAATTGTTCTATCATTACCTGTAAGTAAACTTACTTTTCTAATAGGATCTGTTGGTGCCTTCTGAGGGGGAGAAGGAGGAAACCCGAAAGGGGGGCAGGGGCAAAGAGCTGCAGTGCCTCTGGTTTGTTTGGAGTCTGTCAGCCTGGACAACATCGGCCATTGCAAGTTTTGATTTTATAACAAAACACATCCATAGAAACTTTAAAAGGTTGTTGAGTTCTATTTTGCGGGACTGTTGGTGAAACCGGTCTGAAGACCTGCAGACTTACCAGGGCCCAGCCTCTCTTTTTTAGAGGTACAAGGGAAAAAAAGAGAGGGGAATCATTCAGAGGAACAGAGGAGGGCAGTCTGGGCAAGGTGTTGGGGAGAAAATCCTGACTGCAGAAAAAGAAACGTCTGAGTACAGGGAACCAAGCTTTCACTTCTTTATCTAAAGGACTTTTTCAAGCTGCTTCAGTAGTAGAGAATTCAGCCGTTTGCTGCTTGAAGGAAAGAGATTCGTGTAAAAATTACACCCAGTAAGTAGAGCATGGTTATGGTAAAATATTTGCCATCCATGGCCTAAACAAAACTTCTTAGTCCGATTACTTGAGTATGGCCCCAACAACCACGTAACCACAAGGAGCTTCGCAACCAGGGCACCATTAAAAAAAAAAGATGGTTCTGATTTAGCATTTGTTTTAATAACGTAAAACCAAAGGAAAAGCAAAGTGAGAACCAAAGCCTCCGTACCTAAGGGGATGAGGACTCACCTTAGCACCTCGTGTGGTGGGAGCCTGGCCTCTCCCAGCTGGAAGCCTGCATCTGCCACCTCCGCGGGCTGGTCATCTGAGCTGGCTCTGCAGCTTCTCCCCGCTGACTGGGGAGAGGCCCTGGGGGGTATCTAAAATATTGTCAGTAGCCCTTCATCACTAAGGAACTTCTGTCAAAAGCTCTCCAGCAAAAGCTCTGCCTTTATTTCAGTATCGGTATCGCCACGTGGTTACCTGTAGCATACAGCGGAACCCTCTACCCACACACAACCTCTGTGGAAATAAGGAAATTCCCTTTCCAGGGAGCGATTTTGGTTTCTAATGCAGTTTGTTTTCAAGCAGCACCTGGAAATTGAGAGTGCAATATTTAACAGACTCGTGGAAATAACAAAGAAAGGATCTGATCTGCAGCATCTCATTGTTATCAGTACAGTCTGCATATGATTCTCCTCAGTTCTGGAGTTTCCAGAGTTATTTCTACTCCTGAAAAAGAGAATTTTGTTTGGATGTAACAGGCACTACAAGTGTATAGATCTGTCAGTATTCCAGATGCCCATACAGCAGGTTCCACAGGGAGTCCCCACTGCCTGTCTTCAGGCGGCATCTGGCAGATGCTAGCTCTCTTTCTGCACCTTAGTCCTCAGTTTGCTGAGCTCCTCTTCTAAGCTCTTAATGTGCTCCTGGAGCGCAGCTTTGTCTTGCTGCGCTTTCTGGTTAGCTTGGCACCGGGCTTCCTCTATCTTCCGTTCGTACCACTTCTCCATCTGCGTGGAGACAGCCTCGAAGAAGTACTGGGTGATCTCCAGGGCCTGGGAGGTGTCTCTG